TAGAACTCAGATCGTCTGAGTCCCAGTCCCACGCTCTTAACCCCTACACCACACTGGCTCAGTTGTATCCTTGGTTCTTTTTCCTTGGACATGGCGGAATGTTGGAACTCTACCTTTTTAACATATGGCCACAGACAGTTACTTATAGCTCATCTTAGTACAAGTGAATATGCATTGTTGATAAAGTGCACATGAATGGCCATCTGCAATAGGAACCAAAGTGGAAGAAGAGCTGGTGTTAGGCTTAGTGGGATGCAGCTGCTCCCAGCACAACCCAGTCGGTCCTTCTGCTGGCTTTGCCCGGTGTCCTTGGGCAGTGGTGGTGGTGCTCATGCAACCTCTTCTGGGTGGGTGGACGTACTCAGTGTCCTCCAGGCAGGCTGGCCTGGGGTGGTTTCCCTGGAGGAAGTTGGCTGTGACTGTATCAGCGTGAGAGTAGCTGCCACTACTGGGTATTAAGCTCGATGGGAGGTGACAGGCATCTGTAACAGCCCTAGCAGGCCCTTTGGAGGACTTGGACATTGGCAACTGCCTGGTGATGCTGTCTCATGATGCTGGGCCTGGGAGACTTACTGACACTTCCTTCTAAATAGGCACATACAAGAGCATATTGTTAGGCTGCAGTCCTATGCACATTTAGTTGGGAGTAAGTCTCATTGGATTCTTTGTGACTTAGTTTCCAATAAAGAGAGAGGAAAGAGGGAAAAATAAGAGAAATGGAAAAAAAATTTTTTGTTGAGCAAAATGCCCATTAGCACTCACAGTTCTACAGTGAATGAACCACAATTTTGATGGCACTTGTCCATAAGAAATGAATGGACTGGATTCCTATTGGTTTATGTTTCATAAGGATATAGAATTTTGTTAATTTATGGAACACCTCAGACACGTACACACATATTTATTCAGATGGGGAAAAAGAGTAGCTTTGGACACGAAAATCAGGCATCTCTGATTCCAAAGTACTCAAGAACATCATACAAACAGTTAAAACATTAGCATTTAAAAATGATTTCCAGTGAAGATAGAGGAAATATGTCAACAAGAGTATTTCACTTGAAAATGGTCTTGGTTGGCAGTGACAATTTCTGGCACATGCTCTTTCATTTTATGCAAAGAGATCCTTTATTTAAAGAACTGTAAAAGGAAGTTAGAAATTCTTTGTGAAACTAGACTGAAATTTTAAAAAATACTTTCTTCATACAGATGTCTGTGCAGCCTTCTTGATGTTAAACTGAAAAAAGTCCTATGAGCCCCAGCATCTCCCATGCACAGTAGGTCCTTTCTCTCGTATCAAGTATATGGTTTGAGTGCTTGCACCTGGGTAAAGCAGAGGTGATTTCATGGATGTAGTTTTAATCAGGCATGGACAAGAGGTGGAAGAAATGTTGGCTGGTCCTTGACAGTCCTACTGAAGTTTAATCACACTGACACCATTTCTTGGCTCATGCTTTCATTTACAGCTGCCTCCTCCAACCTGATAATCTTCCGTTGTTTTGAATTTCAGCTCCCATTAGCCCTAGCCAGCATAGCCTATGGACAGGAGTAGTTGAAAACATCTGGCAGTCACCCAGTTGGAAAAGATGGACTTGTAAGAAAATTGCTTTTAACTACTGGAGAAACAGATTATACACCAAGTCCAGGCTTCCCTCAGTGGGTGCCTTCTGTTATGAACTTTAACACCTATCAACCCCATTAGCATGATCTTTGATCAGGAATTCTGGGAGCTGTAGTCCAAAAACATCTATGTTGGAGATGGCTGCAAAGATGCAACAGAGTGTTCCACATTTAATGCTGCCATAGGTGGGCAACTTCTGGTTCTCCAGATGTTCCAGCCTACAACTCCCATCGGCCCTAACCAGCCTAGCCAATGTTGAGGGATAACAGAGTTGTAGGCCACAACTTGCTCACCCTTCTTGCTCTATGGGCTTTGCATGCAAATTAGCCCTGAGAAGCAGCCAGGACTTTGATATAGGAAGAGAACTTGCTGGGTCAAGAAAAATGGTGTTGCGCACTATGGCTGTACCCAGACCTCACACCAACCCGGATCCTGTCAGTAAGGAGCTTCTTAGGAACTCCCAGAAACATCATTCCCAAGGAACCAGAGCCTTTTACACCAAACAGCATGAAAGCTTATTGAGAGGGGATGGACTGAGAGGTTCCAGTCCAGAGGAGCACCACCATAAGACTCCCAATTCTTCAAGAAGAGGCTGGACCCTGAGATGGGTCATCTGGCCCCGAAGAAATAAAAGGATCAAGTTGGGCTGCTGACCTTGTTGGAGTGCAACCTCTGCTTGAAGTACTCCAGGGCCCTAAAACTCTACCCTGACAGGCTTCTCTGCCTCAGCATCTGAGCCACCCTCAGGCATCTGTGTACTCCATTGGTCCACACTTGAAGTCAGGACAAAGCAACAGTGTAATCCATCACTCCAAAGTTTCTGCTGCTACATGGTACCAATAGCTTGATTGTACAGCCCAATCCCTTGTGAAGGCATCACATTTAGATGTGAAAGCCTGAAAAGAACATGGAAAATGATCCCAACCTTCCCCTTCCCGTCCCCCTCTGTTCTTCCTGTGAATGGGAAAGAAGTGAGGAAAAACTGAGGGGTTATATTCCATGTTATTTTTCTGGGCCTTCACAGGAAATGGTCCCCAGAGCACTGCCAAAAAACGAAGTCCAAGAAGAGGGAGCATTTCTGAGTCCGTCATCACACAGTGGTTTTGTCATCTCCCAACTTGGCTCCCATTGATGGGAAATTGTTTACAGCAGGGCCAGGGAACATCTGGTCCATAAGGTTTCTCTCTGCACTATGGAGATTTGGGCTTCTTCTGTTCGCCCAACCCTTTACCCTCCTCATGCACTGCTGTCTGTTCTATAAGCTTTACAGGATCATTGGACGAATGATCCAGGGTCATCATGTTATTTCCAAACGAGAACTGCAATGATCAAGCCAGGCCCTTAAAAGTGTACACTCACCCAAGTATAACAAGCTGCAGCTGTAACTAGGTAGGACGCTAGTCATTTTGCATGTGGTAATGGAAGTGGAGATTGACATGCTTGAACGAAGCTCTTCAGAAACGTATAGATGCTGTTGTATTTCTTGTGACTTCACAGTAAATTTGCACTTGATGTGGCAAAGTAGCGACGATCATTGCTCATTTGATTAAAAAGAGTGAAGAATTAAGGTTTTTAGGAAAGTACATGATTTTAAAAAATGGTATGTGGGATATCTGTCATGCCATATTTGCTAGAAATATCTGGCCAGCAAAGCTGGTGGCCAGTTTGCATGCACGGCAAACAGCAGGTCTGTTTCTCTTGCTGCTATACTGATAAATATTAGACTAAATCCACATGTCCAGGTGTTTTTAATATTTTTAATCTATTCAGCTTTTGTTAAACCAATGTCTGGCCCTGTGTTTGCTGATAAAAGAAATATTAGAAGCTTAACTATAATGTTCATTTCTAATCTGCCTGGCAGCTGTAAGGTAAGCACTTTAATAATTCAAAAAAATCTTAATTGTTCAAAGTATTATAGCCTGGATCCAGATTTAGGTGTGTGCAACTGAGATGGAGAAAACAGACCTTTTGCCTTCACAGCAGCCTCTCCAGTCCCATGGAAATGCTACGCAGAGGGGCAGGGGACACAGCTGAAGTGACTCAGCTGGGGGGTGCAGGAGGAGGGGGATAACCTTGAAAGCTGGGTGAAGACTCCTTCTGCAAGCAGATTCGGGGGGGAGTACTGCTTGCAGGGTGAAGACAGGGTTCCTTTTTCAGGTTTGGTCCTGGCATATTTTGCTCTGTTTCCCCTTGTTGGTGTCAACTTGTTCTATAGCGAGTTGATCCAATAGGTGGATTTATGTATTTTTTTAAATGGTGGCAATTTGTGCACATACCATGTTTCCCTGAAAATAAGACCTATCCTGAAAATAAGACCTAGTACTATTTTTGGTACTTGCTAAAATTTAAGACCTACCCTGAAAATAAGACCTAGCTGTGTTTATTCCCAGGGCCAGTAGGGAACATAAAGAGCCTTTTTAAACTTTATTTTTTAACTTAACTTTAACTTAATGCACTGTGTGGAGGAAAGATGCTTATGCGGCTCTGTTCCCTCTGCACCGAGCTGCATAAGCCGATGTTTCTTCTATAGCACTGGCTCCTGTCACAGGCGGAGCGACATGTATTTTCAACTAGCTGCTTTTGTTCAGCCTTTAGGGTTTCCTCTGCAGTGCCTATCACTGTGTAAGGAGTGGGGTTTGGGGACATGATCCAACCAGAGTTAAGTCCTAAGCCCAGTGCAAGCGTAATATTCCCAGTCTTCTAACTATGGAGAGGAAATCAGGGTGGTGTTTGCTTGTCCTTCTCCTTTCACACTTTCTTCTTCTTCTCCTGTCCCATGGCCTAATGTAACGGTGGTATTAGTCTAATGTAACTACAGTGCAGTGTACTGGTACTAACTAACTAGAGCTAATGGTCAGCGTGGTGGGTAGCATCCCTGTTTAGTCATATGTATCACAGAACTATTTTTAATCAACGAGGCTTAAACCTAGTTGTGATCACCTTTCCTTTTGCTCTCAAAGGGTCTGCCCTAAGTATGATTCAGTCTGAATTCAAGCCAGAAAATTTTACATCAGTTTCCGGCACAGGCTTCAAAGTAAACTTTGGGAAGCTGGCATGCAAATATAATGCTGGAGCACTGACAAACCAAAACTTGGAAAAGATGGAGGAACCCCTTGTGGAAAAGTGGGGTGAGGGGTGGGGCAAAGGGCATGTTTCCAAGCACATGATGTGCAGAGTCAAGCGGTCATTCTCATGACATGTGCAGTACCATTTCACTTGCCTAAACTGGAGTGCAAAAGTACGTGTGCCCAGTGAAATTAAGGGAATTTAGAAATGTTTCATTTTGGCTTGACTGTGCCGTATTACTGGAATACTAACCATTTGGAACATTGCCTGGTAATCTAGGTTTGTTTTGTTTTCTTAAAAGAAAGAGATGTAAAACTGAAAGTGCAGATTGCATTTATTCTCTGCATGGATGGTCCTCAGTAAGGTCACGCAAGTACTTAACACACCAACCAAATAGTTCCTACATTCAAATCACATTCAGGTCAGTGAAATGTTAATTCTTCTATACAAACAAACAAAAATGATAATATTAATAATAACAAAAAAGACACGTCAGCAAGAAAAATAACCTAGTTCTAAGTTAACAGTGGCAGAATGCTATCGAGACAACGCCATAGAAACCTCACTGAAGCAGGAGTTAAATTCAGGCCACTTCATAGCAAAGCTGATCACAGACTTTTAAAAATATTGTTCTTTTCTTTCTTTCTTTTATTTAACTTTGGGTTTGGGAGTCAGATTTTTCCAGTGTGATGTGCTAATTCAAAAATGCTAATGCAAAAGCATAAGACCCCACCTGGCAGGATAAAATATATTTTAATTCCTCTGAATATTACTGCTGACTGACACCCATTTGCTGGTGATCCGCTTCTGCCTCCTCTTCTTCCACATCTGCATTATATTCTTCAAATGCATCATCGTCTACATCTGGAAGCCCCAATAGCTATTTGAGAAAGAAGGAGGGAACAAACGCTGAGTGTGATGTGCAATGTCAAAACGAGGCAATATCACTTGAAGTTCAAGAACAAACTTGGTGTAGTAATTATAGTTCCACATAATCCAATCTAACATTCAGAAGAGGAGCATAGCTTAGTAGCTCCACAGGGATTCCACACCTATTCAGGGCAAACCTAAGGAGATACAACCAACTCAGAACCCAGGCGCTGTTGTAAGGTCCTGGGTGGCTTGTTACTCATGGAAGGGTGGATTGTTGAGGTCTTGTGGTGGCTTGGTAACCACGCTTGCTGCATTTGCACACATGTTATGGTGTGCTTCTGGTGGGGCACAAAAATTCAAAATGATGGTTGCCAAAATGAGAAGCCAACCTTGTGAACCTGTCCTGGTCCTGTTCACCCATGCGAACACGGCAGGAGGGAGCCTATGCCCTGCCCACGATTGGCTCTGGCCACATCCACTGCATACAAGCAGTCCTTGAACCACTACTTGTGGCCCCCATGGTCAACAGGACTGCCAACTCCTGAGAGAGTGGAACAGTAAACAAGCTCCTTCACTAAGAAGTATAATGTGCTCTTTGTTCAGGGTTGGGGTGAGGAAACCTCTTGTTTTTCCACTCCTTCCAAGATATCTCAGTACATTATGAAACTCTACAGTAGATGCATCAGGAAATAACTCTACCACAGAGTTCCACACAGCCAACTGGTCTATGATTCTTCAGACACAGCATTCAACCAACACAGTAACACATAATTTGTCATATGGGTGGGGAACCACTTTGGTTTTCCTCCTATCCCAGTTGAGACTCTCCCTTTGGAAATAAATTTCTATTTATACCCATTTCAGAGCGCTTCTGAGAAACCACAATGGAAGCGCGCTGTATTCAGCATATTCAGCATGTTAAGATTCAAACCATGGCCTCAACTGAGCCAAAGGGAAACTGCGACTTACAGGTCTGAATGATTTGAAGACTTTTTCCAGTATTTCATGGAGTGTCTTTTTACCACAGGAAGAGATATAGTCCTGAGCCAACTGCAGGAAAGGCAAGCAATCTTCACTTTCACTCCAGACGTGCTAAAAGACAAGAGGAGGCAAACAAACCAGGGGTTGAGGAGGACTCTGAAAAACTGGGAAACCACTGCTCAATTGTGGTTAGGAGAAAGCTAGTGGGTTCAGGAGAAGGCACATTTGTTTGTTTGTTTGTTTGGAGTGCCTGTATGCCACCCCATTTGCATAAGCCTTGGAGCGGCTTCCAATCAAATAAATAACAATATACAAAAATATACAGAATTGGAAACATCCCGGAGTTAGATAAAAGCAATAAATAATTCAACAATCAATTAAAGTAACATTTAAATATAAAGGTCTTGGCCTGGCACCAAAAAGCAAATAATGACGGCGCCAGGCGGACCTCTCTGGGGAGCACATTCCACAGATGGGGCGCCACCACAGAGAAGGCCCTCCTCCAGGTACTCACCTACCTAATTTCCTTCACGGAGGGTTCCCGGAGAAGGGCCTCTGCCGCTGATCTCAGAGGGCGGGAGGGCAAATATGGACGGAGGCGCTCCTTCAGGTACCCAGGTCCCAAGCCGTTCAGGGCTTCATAGGTAAGCACCAGCACCTTGAATTGGGCCCAGACCTCAATGGGGAGCCAGTGAAGCTGACAAAGGACTGGGGTTATATGAGAACAACGCCCAGTCCCCATCAGCAACCTGGCAGCTCTATTTTGCACCAATTGAAGTATCCGGACTGTCTTCAGGGACAGCCCCATGTAGAGCGCATTGCAGAAGTCTAATCCGGAAGTGACCAATGCATGCATCACTGCCGCCAGGCAATCGTCCTCCAGGTAGGGACGCAGCTGATGGATCAGCCGAAGCTGATGGAAAGCGCTCCTCGCCATGGCTAACATTTGAGCTTCCAAGGTCAGCTTTGGGTTGAGGAGCACCCCCAAGCTGTGGACCCTGTCCTTCAGAGGGAGTGCTACTCCATTCAGGACAAGGTCCAGGTCCCCCAACCCAGAGTCCGAACCACCCACCAATAGGACCTCCATCTTGTCTGGACTGAGCTTCAGTTTGTTGGCCCTCATCCAGCCCATTACCTCGGCCAGGCACCGGTTCTGTGCAGCCACTGCCTCACCTGGATCGGTTGAGAAAGAGAGGTAGAGCTGGGTATCATCAGCGTACTGATGATTCCGCAGCCCACACCTCCTAATGACCTCTCCCAGCGGTTTCATGTAGATGTTGAATAGCAAGGGGGACAAAATGGACCCCTGCGGAACCCCATGGCA